CAGCCGGGTTGTGAATCTCAGCAGCTCCTTCCCCCTTTCCCAGAATGGAGGCAGCCTCTTCCAATCAATATTTAATTAAAGAACGAAAACCTGATGGATGCTCAATCCCCCAAGCAGCTCAGTAGGAAAATGGCTGAATCTCATGGTTGGCGAGAGACAGCATTGATCGTGATTATCTCTGCAGCGCGGGCCACCCCTGTAGGGCTAACGAAGGCCAGCGCGAGAGGAGCAGGGACGGGGAGAGGGCAGGTGCCACTGCCCCAGGGTCACCTTGCGGAGAAGGACATAGCTGCAGAGCATGGCTTCACCTGGGGGCCGTGCAAAGCAGACAGCTTTGCTCCTGCTTGGCCTAAAGTTGTTTTTCCTAAGTCTGTGGTGGCTGAAAAAACAAATTTGCTGTGTCGAAATTGGCAGGGAAGTTTGTCCCAACCGATTATAAATGGACAAGGAAATAACTCAGACAACTAAACAGAGGAAGATACAGCCAGGACATTGCGAATGAAAGGTGAGGAGAGCACCTCGGTGTGCTGCCACGGAGGAAGGGATGAAAAATGGAGCAGGGCTGCTTCTTACCAGTGCAGTTTCTTTCATCGCTGCTGTCTGAGCAGTCTAGATATCCATCACACCGCTCCGTCAGCATAATGCAGGCCTCTCCGTCTTCGCATTTATAACCATTAGGGCACGACAGGGTGCTGTGAGTAGCTGCAAGATGCAGAGAGGTTGCCTGATTGAAAGCACAGAAGCTCCCTTACGAGTACCGTGCTGCTGGCAGTGCTAAGGGCCGGTTCAAGGGCAGGCACGTCCGGGTGCAGGGGTGGCCACGCTTCGGGGACGGCGCTCAGGCAGAGTGGGTCGTTGTTAATAGGGCTATTTCTGTTTTGCTCCATCTTCTGGCATGCTCACCTCCGCTATGGCAAGAACCTGGAGCGTGTCCCACTGAGATCAACAGCACAACCCTCTAGATGTCATAGAAAGCAGTGGCATCCTGAATTCCCCAACTACGCCTCCATTAGGTACTCCCCTTTCGCAGTTGTCAGCATATGCTTTTGGACCGACTCATTGGCTGCGCTGAGTTGCCTGACACAGAGGAGATCCAGGAAATCACTGCCATCTGCTTCCCGCAGGGCCCAACCAGGAGACATCACGCTCGAGGCATACGACATTTCTGAGTTGCAGCCGATTAGAGAAAAGCAGCCTTGTCTAATGGGATGGGCACTATTTGGGGGCCTTTTTTTTTTTTAACTGTAATGCTGCATTTATTGCAATGCTTCCACTAGCAATGAGACTCTTGAGAGCATCTGTCCTTGCAAAGAGCTTCCCCAAGCTCTTCCCCCGGCACTTACGGCAGTTCCTCTCGTCAGTGCCGTCCTGGCAGTCCCGCAAGCCGTCGCACCTCTTCCAGTTGGGGATGCACTTCCTCAGCTGCTGGCACTCGAACTCGAACCTGCTGCAGCGGCCCAGGAGCGCCGGGGAGGTGGCGGTGACGTTAGGTCCTGGGGGGAGGAAGCAAGAGCCCGGTGAGAAGCGGCACGGGGCCCAGCCAGGCCAGTGCTGCTGCCACCAGAAGGGACCCAAATGTGTCCCCAGGTCCCAACTCCGCTAGATGGCAATCTCTTCCCATCTAACAGGTATACGGCTCCTTCGGCTTTCGGGTGGCTAAATCCCGAAGCCCTTCTCTCTCCTGACTGCAGGGGGCTGGAAAAGCAAATGGTTGCGCAGCTCTTAAGGCAGCCAGGCAGGGGGGATGCTGGCACCGGGGGGTCGTGATTGACGGGGTTAGCGGCATCAGCCCGCAGCTCTGCAGCCTCATCAGGGACAGCAGGCAGGGAGGGCTGGCTTGCACCCGCTGGCGCCCCCAGCCCAGCCTCCGCAGCCCTACGCGGTCCTAGCAGCTGCGGCAGCAGGGTTGCACAGCCCGGCTGGAACTGCTGCCGCAGCGCCGGCACCTGCGTTAATCCGTGCAGCGGGGAAAGACGGGACCCATTTCTCTGCTGGCGTCAGGAAGTGTGACTTCAGGGAGGGAATAGGTGGTGGGCTTTTACACCCCCGCATAATTCAATGGTGTAATTTGGCAAGTATTCGAGTCTTAAAGGCCAACGGCCCTTGCAGATGTGATCCTACAGAAAAGGGACCGGGGCGAAGGAAGAGAAAACCTTACGCGCAGTAGGGCAGGCTTCCTCATCGGAGCCATCTGTGCAGTCCTTATATCCATCGCAGACCCAGCTGTTCATGATGCAGGCCCCGCTGTTGCAACGGAAGTGATTAGGCAAACACGTTGGTGGGATCGATGTAGTAATGGGAAGAACTGGAGAACCTAAAAACACAGCAGTGAGAGCTGACCTCTCCCGGCCCGTTCCTGCGCGCGTGCTGTAAGCTGAGCCTATTCCCAGCAGCCCGAAAGCCACGATGAGCGGGGAGCACGGGGAGCGGGCAGACAAGACGTCGCGAGCGCGGTACTTTGATGCGCGTAGGATCTGCAAAGCTCCTGATGAGCACTTGCAACAAGGCAGACCTATAAAGGTCCTGGAGCATGAGAAGGGCTCACAGAGCCCACTCAGGGGGGTTTTTGCTCCGGCACATGCAGCCCGTACCGGCGCACTCCCTCTCGTCGGACCAGTCGCCGCAGTCGTTCTCCCCGTCGCACTTCCACCTGTTGGGGATGCAGTGGCCGTTCCCGCACTGGAACTGGTAGTACCGAGAGCAGTTGGGGGCCTCCGTCGGGTTTTCTGACAAGGAGAGGAGAGTCCCGTGAGCCCCCGCAGACAGGATAGGGCAAGGCAGGGCAGAAACGGGGAGGCAAAGCCAGCCGTCCCGAAATGAGCACGCAGCTGCTTCATCTGCCTGCGCCCGGCTCCCGAAGCTGCCTAGGGATCGTTGCTAAAATATTGAGTTTGGCTGTAAGTTGCCTGTCTGCCTCGGGCTGGGAAGCTGTGGAGTAAATATGTTCTCATATGACTTAGTCAACTACAGTATGTGCCTTCCATATCAGATTTTTCCGTCTGCTTCAGTCTACCTGTAATATGACCCTGCTCTCTAGGTAAAACACTCTGCAACGTGTAAGTGAAACATTATATACATCCATGTATAGGTATATACATACATGCATGAATGTGTATCTAAAATGTGACGAAGCCAGTGCTTTCTATGCTCCCCAAATTCAAAGGAAGCTGGAGCTGGGGTGACCAGGGTCCTCGAGGCACCGCTCACCACAGTTTGCTTCATCGGAGTAGTCGCCACAGTCGTCCATGCCGTCGCACTTCCACACCAGGCTGATGCACACTCCGTTCTGGCACTGGAAGCTGAACTGGTCGCAGGTGCGGTGGAACTCGGGGTCCTGGGCTGCAGGGCGACACGGGAAAGCCGTCCGCCCCGGAGCCAGCTGCTCTTCAGCAGAGGTTCAGTGAAGAGATTAAGGGCCTGAGGGAAGCTCATCCCGACAGAGAGAGGAAGGAGCACACCAAAAGGCAGCTACGGACTTAAAAGCTAAGTGTTGTAGTCCAGGGCCACGTCTTAGGAGACCTGTTGGCTTGTGGGTACCCCGGGGAAGGCGCTCTCCTCCCTGTGCGTTGCTTTCCTTCTCTATCAAGCCCCCCTTTGCCAAGTGCTGTGAGGTTGCCCTCTAAGCCCGAGGCAAGAGCACGCCGTCACACTTACAGCATCCGGCATAGTTGGCATCTTCATCTGAGCCATCCCGACACTGGACGATGCCGTCGCACACCATGGAGTGGAACAAACACTGCTGCCGGTTCTTGCACACGAAATCCATGTAGCGGGTGCACAGGGGTTCTGGGTGCAGAAAGGGAGGGAAGGGCAGCTCCTTGGCCGCGCTACCACCACCACCCTCTCTGATTTGCACAGAGTCGAGCGCAGTGGCCCGATTTCATAACCGTGCAGAAAGTTGCCATGGCAAACAGTTCGGGCTCTGCATCTATGCGTAGTGCCCTCGCCCGCTAACACATCCTGGTATGAGCAGCTTGGCACAGGCATCAGGCGGGATTTGGCCACGTCCCTGAATATAGCTCCTGCCAATCTACCCTCCTTTCGCTGCGCTGTCCCACCTACTTAGCCTTTCACTAGCACGCACAGAGGAGCAGATTTCCCAGTGGGCTAATGCATGCTAACTAAAGCTTTCCCATTAGCTCATCAGCGCTGTTCCTCCTGGTGAGGGCGGCTTTGGCAAGGCGGCAAGTCCAGATACTGTACTCTGGCGTCCCTCTGATGCTTTGGTTTGGCCCTCGGGGTCCCGCCAGGCCCCCGCGGCCTCGGTACTCACCGCAGTGCTGCTCGTCGGAGGCGTTGGAGCAGTCGTTGATGCCGTCGCAGTGTTTGCTGGTGGGGATGCAAGTACCGTTCGGGCACTGGAAGCCGTTGCACTTTTTTTCTGAAATTCAGGTTTGAGCGGTGTTGGTTTTTACAGAGCTGCTCTTAATTGGGGATAAAAATGCACAGCGCACCCCGAATCACCTCCCCACCCGCTGTCCGTCCACTTTTGGCGGGGTGGCAGTCGCCTCCCTGAGTTTCGGCTCGGGGGTCTGGTAGTGCTCTCTCCCACCCCGGCCCCGCGGCGCGCGAGCGAGCGAGCGACCCGCTGGGGGAGGCAGTGGCCGTTCTGGCACTGGAAGCTGGCGGCCTCGCAGGTGTGCGACACGGCTGAAAGCAGACCGGGCAAGGGCGCTTGAGCCCGCACTCGCCGCCCACCCCGCGTGCGCCAAACAGGCCCTGCGGGAAGGCACCGGCCGTTCGCACCGCTGGCGCGGCGATTTCCGCCCGCGGCACCTCCCGGCGCTGACGCCAGCAGCAGTCCGGGGTGCTGGGAGCCTTGCATTTGACCTGGTTCATGCTGTGAGCTTTTCCTCGCTGTCCCTCATCTGCTAATTGGCACAGCGGACACAATAATTACCAGCCGGCTGCACCTCATGGGCTGCTCGCGGAGGCTAGCAAACTTTTCCGGCGCTCTCTAGGTCCTCCTAAAGTCTCCTTCCCTTTGCTCTCTGTCCTCCCGGCGCGTGGCGAAGGAGAGGATGGCTGCGTCTCGCTGGAGGGAGCAAAGCCGCGGCCCTCGGGGCGGCCCCGGGGAGCAAGCGCTGCCCGCGCGCCGGCACGCATGTCTGCCCGGCCCCAAAGGGTCAAGGAGGGAACGGCCTGCTCATCCTTGAAGTCTCCAAGACAGCCCTTGATTAAGGCAGGCAAGGCTTTTCAGGGTTGCCACAGCAAACGAGAAATACAATTCTCTCTGGATTTCCAAGGGATTAGGGCCCTGGCCTTCCTTAGGCTCCTGTTTGGAAAATATCTGCCTACGGTTTAATTCGGATGAAGCCTGACGTACGTTGTCCCTTTAAAAACGAGTACCACTCTCAAACCAGGAGAGCACCCATCATTATCTAGAAGAAAGCAATGTTCAACTTAATTAAATTGCATGCTACTGAATTTTAGGTTAGCTAGTGACATGCACTTGCAGATATTTCAAAATACTACAATCGTGTGGCAGTAATATTCTATTAGGTATTCAGTGTGAAATGTAATTATTTCAGATAAGAGCAATAAATGCAGCTGGTGGAGTCAGATGAAATGTTTCTCAAATAATTGCGATCCTCTTAGATAACTTCAACTTTAGGCTTAACAAACCCGATACGCTTTTTGAAGTAGGCTCCTTTCCCGTAGTAATTCTCGCCGGAGATACTCATATGAGAGATAAGTGATGCCAACAGAAATTAAAC